TAATTAACGTTGACTGAGGTCTTATTGATGGGCCCTAATTCAGTTGACTGATGTCTTTCTAGCAGAGAAACCGTGGTTTGGGAGTACACACAGAACAGGCCACTTAAGATGTATGTTAATGTATCACAGATGTCATTGTTGCAATATATTTTGTTCAACATAGTTTCTTTTTGTTTTTAAAGATTGTATTTATTTATTTGAAAGTCACAGTTACACAGAGAGGAGAGGTAGAGAGAGAGAGAGAGAGGTCTTCCATCTGATGGTTCACCTCCCAGTGGCCACAATGGCTGGAGCTGCGTCAGTCCGAAAGCCAAGAGCCAGGAGCTTCTTCTGGGTCTTCCACGCGGGTGCAGGGGCCCAAGGAGTTGGGCCATCTTCCACTGCTATCCCAGGCCATAGCAGAGAGCTGAATAATCGGAAGTGGAGCAGCCAGGTCTCAAACCGGTGCCCATATGGGATGCTGGCACTGCAGGCCAGGGCATTAAACTGCTGCGCCATAGCGCAGGCCCCATCAACATAGATTCTAATTTCTGTTGTGATCTCTAATATCATGGCTGTTTAAATATTTGAGGCTCTCATATGTTTGTTTTTCTTCATTTCTAATTTCTAACTCCATCATGTTTAGAGAATACACTATGATTTTGGTCTTGGAACTTCTGATGTCTTTGTAACAGAGAAACCAGGGTTTTGAAGTACACACAGAAAAGGCATGTAAGAACATGATGAGAAGTTGGTTACATGCAAACCAAAGAGAAGGGTCCCTGAAGAAACCAGTTCTGCAGGCAGATTGTCTTTGGCTGTTTGGTCTACAGAAGTATGAAAAATTAAATGTGGGTTGTTTAAGTCATTTAGTCTGTAGAATTTTGTTAGGACAGCCCTAGCAAACAAACTACTTCGTTGCATTAATTTTCTTTTATTTTAAAAAATTTGACGGGGTCGGCACTGTGGCTCAGCAGGTTAAAGCCCTGGCCTGAAGCCCCGGCATCCCATATGGGTGCCAGTTCTAGTCCCGGCTGCTCCTCTTCCAATCCAGCTCTCTGCCTGGGAAAGCAGTAGAAGATGGCTCAAGTCCTTGGGCCCTTGCACCCACATGGAGACCAGGAGGAAATGCCTAGCTCCTGGCTTCGAATCGGTGCAGCTCTGGCTGTTGCGACCATCTGCGGAGTGAACCAGCGGTTGGAAGACTTCTCTCTCTGTAACTCTGTCTTTCAAATAAATCAAATAAATCTTTAAAAAAAATTCTTTGACAGGCAGTGAGAGAGAAATGCGAGAGTGCTTGTGTGAGTGCGTGTGTAAGAGTGAGCACACTCTTACATACTAGCTTACTCTCCAAATATCTGAAATGGGCAGTGCTGAGCCAGACTGAAATTCAGAGTTGTGAACACAATCTAAGTCTCCCCTGTGGGTGGTAGGAACCAAATCACTTGGCCTGCTTCTTAGAGTCCATATTAGCAGGAGGCTGGAATCAGAAGTCAGAGCTAGGAATCAAACCCAGGTTTTCTGATGTTGGACACATTATAATGGGCATCTTAGATATTAGGCCAAATGCCAACCCCATTTTTGTTAATTTGAGTATTCTCATATTTATGATGACTTTCATATGTTCTTTTTATAATCTTACTAATTTATTGAATCATCCTATTTAGAATAGTTTTCAGGACTTATTCTCTTGAATTTTGTCAGTAGGAACTGTATGCAGGAATGTAAGTTTGGTGTTGTGTTTAAGGCACTATTTGGGATATCCACATCCCCCATATTCAGGGGTCAGAGTTGTAGCTTTGTTCCCAGTTTCTCTGCTGTTATGCGCCCTGGGAGGCTGCAGGTTATTTCAAGTATTTTAGTCCCTGCCACTCATGTGGGAAACCTGGATTGAGTTCCCAGCTCCTGGATTTGGCCTGGCCCAGCCCCAGCCATTGTGGGCATTTGGAGAGTAAATTATCACATGGGAGATTTCTTTCTCTCTGCCTTTGAAATAAATAAATAAAAATTATATAGAAAGTGACTGCAAGTCAGAATCATTTTCATTGCTTCCTCTTTAATCATAATTGACCAACACCTTTCATGCAGAGTTGAATAATTGTGATGATAGCGCACTCTTTTTTTAAAAAAATATTTATTTGTTTGTAAGTCAGAGTTACACAGAGAGGAGAGGCAGAGAGAGAGAGGTCCTCTATCCGATGGTTCACTCCCCAGTTTGGCTGCAATGGCTGGAGCTGCGCTGATCTGAAGCCAGGAGCTTCTTCCAGGTCTCCCACATGGGTGCAGGGGCTCAAGGACTTGGGCCATCTTCTACTGCTTTCCCAGAGCATAGCAGAGAGCTGAATTGAGAGTGGAGCATCTGGGTCTCGAACTGGCGCCCATATAAGATGCCTGCGCTTCAGGCCAGAGCATTAACCTGCTGTGCCACAGAGGCCCCCCCCCCCTCCCCCTCCCCGAGCACTCTTGTCTTGTAGTGTTTCCTCTTTAACTGTGATGCTGCCTTTGGGCTAAGATATATACATCTTGCCATGTAAAGGGAGAACGCCCAGACTGGCATTGTGGGTTAAGCCATTGTCTGTGGCGCAGCATCCCATCTGGGCACCAGTTCATGTCCTAGCTGCTCCATTTGTGATCCATTTCCCTGATAGTGGCCTGGGAAAGCAATAGAAGATGGCCCAAGTGTTTGGGCCCCAGCACCCACATGGGAGACCTGGAAGAAGCTCCTGGCTTCAGCCTGGCCCAGTCCAGGCTGTTGTGGCCATTTGGGGAGTGAACTAGCTGATGGAAGATCTCTGTCTCTCTGCTTCTCCTGCCTTGTCTCTCTGTCTCCCCTTCTGTAACTCTACCTTTCAGATAAATTAAAAAAAAAAAAAAAAAAAAAGGAAGTCAAGGAGGGTAGGGGGAATACCCTGAAAGTATTACTGATGGGATGGTATTTTAAAATATACTTTATCCACACCTATGTGGATGAGCATGAATATTAACAAGTATTTGAGGGTACTTCAAAAAGTCTTTGGAAGATGGAATTAAAATGTTTATTTTGGTACAAAAATTTTTGAAATCATAAGTGTTTTTAAAAATTAATGTAAGGGGCCAGTGTTGCAGTATAGTGGGTAAAGCTGCTGCCTGCAACACTGGCATCCATGTGTGCGCCAGTTCATGTCCTGGCCGCTTCACTTTCAATCCAGCTCCCTGCTAAGGGCCTGGGCAAAGCAGTGGAAGATGGCCCAAGTGCTTGGGCCCTGCTACCAGCGTGGGAAACCCCGGAAGAGGATCCTGGCTTCAACCTGGCCCAGCACTGGCTGTTGCGACCATCTGGGGAGTGAACCAGTAGATGGAAGATTGATCTCTCTCTGTCTCTCAGATAAATAAAATCTTTTTAAAAATAATTAATGAAAATTAATTTGAGAGAGATAGAAAGAGCTCCCACCTGGTTCACTCCCTAAATGTCCATGACTCTTGGGACTTTGCCAGGTGTGAAGCTGGGAGCTGGGAACTCAGTCCAGGTCTCACGTGGATGGCTGGAACCCAGTCCTTTGACTCCGCACCACTGCCTTGCAGGATCTGTGTTAGCAGGAAGCTGGAGCAAGGCATTGATCCCAGCCAGGCATTCCACCACTGCGCTCTGGCATCTCAGTCACTAGGCCAAAACCTGCCCCTAGGTTTCTTAATACTGAGCTTTCCTTGAACCTTGAAAAAGCAATTTGAAAATTCCTTCTCTGTTATATTCCATTGGCATTTCCCTTCCTCTATTGACAAATGTCAGTATTTCCTCAGATTTAGTACTTGTTCTTTTTCTTCTTCCAGTCTCTTAACTTCTCTTTGAGCTCTCACTCTGATGGCTTTGGACATCACTGAAATTCCGCTGCTTTCCAAATCTTTATCTTCAGTGTAAATCTCTCTCTCACCTTTGCTCTAGATTGTAAATCCAGTTGCACGTGTCTATATTTTGACTACAGAAACATCAGAAACAATGTGTCTGAGGTCACTCTTCTTTCCATCATATTCTTTTTCCTTTTTCCCATTTTCAGTTACAGTGCCAGTATCTACCTGGTTACTCATGCAGACAATGAGAATTAAACTCTAGTTTTTATTCTGCAGATACGTTGCTGCTGAATTCTCTTTTGGTGCTCCATCTTTCCTTGTTTTTCTTGTGGTCCATTTGTTTCCTGATGTACTGGTCATGTCTCTGATTTCTTCCGCTCTCTCTCTTCCTGGGGGGAAGATTATTAAACATGTAAACCTGGCTAAGCAACCTATCACCTTTTATTGGTCCCTCACTTTTTACACCCTATGTTTTAAAACGTAGGTAATCACTTTGATGTGAATATAGCAATTCTTTTGGATGTTGAAGAGAAACAAAGATGTTTGTGAACATACTTAACTAAAAGTTTCTTATTGTTGAATAAAGATAACTATGTAATGCAGAATCACTCAATTATCAGTTTCTTGCACACCTTAACTGCCTTCGATGTCATCACAGCCCAGGAGCACTCATTGAGACATGGTGTTGGTGGTTACCTTCACCTAGTGTGTGTTCTTTGTGCTTTTGCCATCTGATTTCTGTTGCTTCATATTCATGAAAACACATTTGTGTAAAATATCTAAATATCTTTGTTTTTTTCAGTGAAGTGCAACCTGATAATACAGAAAACCTTATTTTTTTCTGTTCTGCATTGAACATGTATCTCAGTTCATCTAGCCTGTTATTTGATGTATGTATTTATAGTTTATCTCTTCAGACTACACTGAGCTCCTTTTGGGATCCTAATTTTATTGATCCTGTTGTTGATGGGAACAAGAACAGTTCCAGGCATGCAAGGGAAACTCATGTGGTATTATTTGGGAAATTCAGAGGCAAGATATTTTGGTTGTAAGTTTTCTTGGTGTCATCATATAGAATTCAAAGTAAGAGATACCTTATGTAAGATACACATAGAACGTACAGAAGACTCAACTCTGTCTTCTTGTCTTGTAAACAAGAGCTAGTATGTTGAGGAGGAATGTGTTGTTTGTTGCAGGGGTTGGTGTCGTTTGAGGATGTGGCTGTGGACTTCAGCTGGGAGGAGTGGCAGGACCTGGATGATGCGCAGAGGACCCTGTACAGGGACGTGATGCTGGAGACCTACAGCAGCCTGCTGTCCTTGGGTGAGTGACACTCCCCAGTGATTCCTGACTGGAACACATTCTTTTTGGACAAATAAATGAATGCTTTGTAAATGCTAGTTAGTTGTAAGAGCCCAGTTTGTGGAGAATATAGGTATCAGCGCTCTCTGGTGAAATGTTCAAATTTGCCCTTCCATCGCACAATTCCCGAAGCCAAGCTGTTGTCCTTCAGAGGCCTAATGGAGCAGTTGGGCAAAGTCTTCCCTTACTTCCTCTTAACAGGGTCCTGCATTACCAAACCTGAGGTGATCTTCAAGTTGGAGCAAGGAGCAGAGCCATGGATGGCGGAAGAACCCTCAAACCAGAGCCAGCCAGGTCAGTCAATGTAGACTGGGCAGGGAGGGTGGGACAAGGAGAACTCCGTCAACTGTGCTGAAATGTTTTCAACAATGTTTTCCCCTAGCCCTAGCCCTGAGGACTGCTGGTTTCATGCATCAGACACATGGACCGTACAGTCTCCAAGGAAGGCTCTCACATGAGTGTCTACCTTCCTTGGACATTTAAGGGGAGGCAGTTTTAGAGAGAGATTTATTTACCTGACTTAGCTTAATTTTAAGTTGACAGTTTGCCAAATTTGCCATATAACATATGAGGGAGGGTGATCTAAAGTCTGGAGGAAACAAGTACATCACTATTAGAAATACAAATTTGCAAATTGGTAGCTCACAGGTAATATTGAACGTCATACTTAGGAGGCGTTCTCCTAGGAAGATGATGATAATGAGGAAAAGGGATCCGTGAGTGAGCCTTGTGTGCCACCGCCTCAGAAATCATGACTAAGCAGGACCTAGCAGAGGAACTGGGAAACAGGGGTTTGGAACGTCGGAGAAAAACCGGAGGTCCTGGGTCTCAAGGCCAAGTGAATAGTTTTGTGGTGAAGCACTCAGATTTGTTTGGAGGTGGATTTTGAAGTGAGTATTGTCCCTTTCTCTTTCAAAATCATTCTAAATAAAGAAATACATAGGAGATTCGATTTTTTTGTGAAAGTAGGTGACAGCTGAAACTCCAACACAGAAAACAAAGCCTTCCAAAGCAGTGAGTGACCAAGCAGGAGCGTGTATACCAGGAAATGAGGGGAGAATGTGAGAGCTGTTGATTTCAAATGGAACCTGAAATGGTGGGCACAGACGAGGCCGCAGAACCAAATCCATTAGACCAGTTAGAAGAGGGTGCCAGTGGTCTGTAGCTGTCCTGGTTTTGTTATTGTTCTGAGAAGCAGAAGGTGTCAAATTCCTTTAAAGGTGTTGAGAGTCTGCCTTCATCTGAAGTTGGGGAAGAGATGATGCACTGGAAACCCCCCATGCCTGTAGGCGTTCTCTAGGAAGAGTGGAAAACTAGCAAACACAGGCTCAAGTCCTGTTCCTACGTCATGTCCCTGCCTAGGGAATAGCTGAATGGCCCTCCCTGCACCTGCAAGTAGCTAATCCATGAAAACCTTGCCATCTTCAGAGCTGAAAGAGCAGCAGAGGAGAAGCATGAAATACACACGGTTATTATTTTTAAAACTAGAGAAAAAGAACAGGGAAAACAAGTGGCTGATGGAATGTACTCAGCTTAATACTACAGCTAGGCAGCAGGTAAGTATTTTGACTAAACATTTCCTCACTTCTAAAAAGAAAAATCACTTAAAAGCAGCAAAACCATCATGATTTAACATTGAAAAATCAGTAATGTAATCTACTATATTCCTTAAGAACAACTATACACTTGTCACCAATGAATACTTTTTATTGATATTCTGAATTATATGCTGCTAGGATAAGAAGAAACTTTTTTACCTTTCCGTGAGCATTTCATGAGGTGTGGTTTATGGATATAGCTTCTCTCTCTCTTTCTCTCATTTCAGTTGTCCAGAAAATGGATGACACCATTGGGACCAGCCAAGAAAGTCAAGACATAATTTTTTGGCAAGTTGTAATCACGAACAACAACACATCAACTGAGGACAGAGTAGAATTAAGAAAAACAATTAATTTAAACTCAAACCATATTTCAAAACTTGTTGTAAAGAGTGAAGATTATTCAGAAATGAGGCCTGAGATGTTCAACGTATGTCAGAATGTGCTCCTCCCGGGTGAACCTGATGAGATGCATGCTGGAGGAAAACCTGGTGCCTACAGTGTCAGCGGGAAATCCCTCAAATGGTGTGAGAATCTTAGTCAGCATCATGAGATTCAGACTTGGCCGCAGCCATTTGAATATAGTGGACAAGGGAGAGCTTTCAACAGGGAGGAAGTATTCTTTGCACATGAGAGAGTTCAAATGAGAGAGACTTTCTATAAATATAACGAATATGGGATGGGCTGTGATGAGTCAGCTCTCATTGGTGGGGAGGCAACTCACATAGGAAAGGAAGCTTTCTATGAAACGTCTAATTTCACTGATCATCAGGAAACACATGCAGGAGAGAAACTCTATAACTACATTAAGTGTGAGGAACCTTTGGTTAGCAAATCAGATCTTAAAATAAATCAGACATATACAGGGAAAAAGCCTTATGACTGGAACCAGTGTGAGAAATCTTTCAATTGTAAACCAGGCCTTACTCTGCATCACAGAATTCATACAGGGGAAAAGCCCTATGGTTACACTGAATGTGTGAAAGCTTTCTACCAGAAACCAATCCTCACTATGCTTCCAAGAACTCACACAGGGGAAAAACCCTATGAATGTGATGAATGTGGAAAAACCTTTTGCCAGAAGTCAAACCTCAGAAAACATCAAAGAATTCACACAGGTGAGAAACCATATGAATGTAATGAATGTGGAAAAACCTTTTTCTGGAAGTCAGACCTCACTATGCATCAGAGAACTCACACAGGGGAAAAACCCTATAAATGTGATGAATGTGGAAAAACCTTTTGCCGGAAGTCAAGCCTCAGGAAACATCAAAGAATTCACACAGGTGAGAAACCATATGAATGTAAGGAATGCAGGAAAACTTTCTCTTACAAGTCATATCTCACTCAGCATCAAGGAACTCACACAGGGGAGAAAGGATACGAATGTGAGAAATGTTGGAAATCATTCTACCACAAGTCTCAGCTCATTATGCATCAGAGAATTCACACAGGGGAAAAACCCTATCAGTGTAACGAATGTGGAAAAACGTTCTGCAGGAAGTCAAGCCTCAGCATACATCAGCACACTCACACAGGGGAAAAACCCTATGAATGTGAGGAATGTGGAAAAACCTTTTACCTGAAGTCAGTCCTCACTGTGCACCAGAGAATTCATAAAGGGGAAAAGCGCTATGCATGTAATGAGTGTGGGAAAGCCTTTTATTGGAAGTCACACCTCATTGTACATTACAGAACGCACGCAGTGGAAAATCCTTATGAATGGAATGAATACAGGAAAGCCTACCAGATGTCAGTCCTTGGTATTCATCAGAGTACTCACACAGGGGAAAAACCTTATGAATGTAATGAATGTGGAAAAACCTTCTGCAGGAAGGGAGACCTCACTATGCATCACAGAACTCACACAGGGGAAAAAGCTTACAAATGTAATGAGTGTGGGAAAACATTTTACCGAAAGTCAGACCTCATCATACATCTGAGAACTCACACAGGGGAAAAACCTTATGAATGTAATGCATGTGGAAAAGGCTTTTACCGGAAGTCACACCTCATCAGGCATCAGAGGACTCAAATAGGAGGAAAACTCTATGAATGTAATGAGTGTGCAAAAACCTTTTGCCAGAAGTCAAACCTCAGGACACATCAGAGAACTCACACAGGTGCGAAAACATACGACTGCCTCGAATGTGGAAAGGCTTTTTGTCGGAAGTCACACCTCAGCAAACATCAGAATATTCACAGAAGAGAAGCACTGTGAATGGAGGAAACACAAGTCAAGCCGACAAACATCACACAGAATACACCATACGACTGTAATGAATGTGGAAACGCTTTTGCCAGAAACCATGCAAGGGAGTAACCCTGTATGGCAGAGACTGGCTACGTGTTCTTCAAATTCTGCTCTCTGTTGGACATACAGTCTGCATTTTCATCCTCCCCTTATTGTGGATAGGACCATATAACTAAGCTCTTGCTTTCACATACAAATTTGGAGAAGAAATAAACATCCACTCCAAAATGCCATCTTCATCATTTACTAATTTGTGGTTTGGAGTGGCTGCTTTTTCTCTGCCCATCATTCCTTCCTCGCGTTATTCTGATACAGACCAGTTGTGTGGCCACGGGGGCATCATATGACTCAGGTGGCAGTCATAATGCTGTGCATACAGCCCTGCATGGTGAGTGTTTTGTCCAGGGTGGGGTGTGAGTCTCTGCTGACTTCTGAAATCCTGACAATCACAGACTTGCTAGTGTGTGGATCTGCAGCTGCCTGTACTGTGAGGAAGAAGAGAAGCTGTGAGCAGTGTCCTGGCAGCCTAAAGTTCAGGAGTCTTCAGTGACTGATGTTGTGCCAGGACTTAGATTTTCCTTTTGTTCCAGTTACACTCTGTTGAGGTGAATTACTCTGTTTGTAATTGAGTACTGACTAGACTGAATTTATAAGATCTGTATTTCTCCTTTTTTATTTACTGAGCTATCTTCAGGCAGTTTTACATAAATACAGTAATGTCTAATAGTGTAGTTGCTGTATGTCCCTTTTGCCATCATTTTGAGCTTTAGTTTTATTTGAAATCAGTAAACTTCCTCATCTCTGAAGGCCTTTCTGATTTCTGGTTGGTTTTACATTCATCTTTGGTCTTGGCACATACTCAGGATGGCACCGTCCACCGGGTGGTGTAGCCATTTCAGGTACCCGGGCTGAAGTGATAGCTGCTCTGTGTGCAGCTGCTCCTGTCCTGTCTCCCTTCCTGAGGACAGGCCTGCAGGTCACCCCTGCCTCCTCTACTAATACCCACTGCAGATAGCCCGATGAGCCCTGGTCATGCCCCCTTGGTTGGTGTCTCCCAGCTGCTAGTCAGTCACAAGATGCAGACCTTAAATATCAGAGTGCATACAGAATTGCAGGAAAATAAATGGTTGTGTGTATTTTATGAAAAACTGCAAGACAAAGCCAAATAGCTGCATTTCTTCTAACCAGAGTTGACTTTGAGGCAAAAACATTTTAAGAGAGAAAAAAATCTATACTGAAAATATTCAGTCTGGGTTATATAACAGTTCTAAAAAATGTTTCTCTCAACTCAGCATGATAAAGTAAAATTTAGCCAACTTAAAGGAGTAGAAAATGGGTGATCATAGACTGTCGTCTTCCTGTGTTCAGAAAGGGAGTGAAGTGTAGAAAATAAAGGTAAGAAATGGGAAACTGAAGTAATAAATGGATGTGGAAATCCCCATTGTCAGTGTAGTGACACTGGAAGCAGAAAGCCCCAGTTGACTTTCACTGATGTTTTCTACCAAGCCAGGAAAATACCCGCCAGCAGCACGGCAGACATCCTATGGTGCATGAGACGTTGACTTCTGAGCTGGAGGAATCCTGGGCAGCGCATCAGTTGTCAGGTTCTTCAAGACGCAGAAGAGCTGCAAGACCCATGCAGCCTGCTGACCTAGCAGTGGCCCCACTTCAAAGCCTCTTTCCAGTAGAGGAGCCCCCTGGAGTCTGTGGTAACCCCTTCACTGCCCCCAGAGACTCCTGTGGGAAGCCGTCACCAAGGAGAGACAGAAGTGGGAGGGAGGAGGTTTGCCTTGGAGTCTGTCTGGAGCTGAGATCTCAAGGAAGGACATCAGTGAGTGGGTCTGCAAATCCCAGGAATGAGGTCAGGAGGATGGAGTGAGTGGCTAGGGGTGATAGCACCCGCCATGTACTCAGCATGGGTTGGTAGGGACACAGTCCTCGCGTCCTGTCCAGAGTGAATTTTGCTGCTGTATCCTAATGCAGAGCGGCTTCAGTTGTGCACAGCTCAGCTAGTGCAGGGCCAAAGGAGCTCGTTTTTTTTTGCTGCTTGCTTTGGTGTGTGCAACTGCTTGTGCTGGAATGGGTCACGGGTTACTTGGATCCTCCTGCCCTGCTTGCCCACCATGCATACAGCTTCCATCTGGGCACCTAGTGTTGCCACGTGGTCTCAGGATGAGGATTGGAGGTGAATTTGCTAATGATGTTGTATGCTGGGTGGGGAGTAGTACAGTCCTTTGTCTCTTACCTAGGTCTCTAGTATCCTTCCAGCATCCATGAGGTCCAAGCAGGTTCATTGTCTGTAAGCAGGGAATAGCCTAGACTGCATAGTTCCTGACCAAGATGGAGCAAGCCTGGCCTGAAGCCACTGGATGAGAGCAAGTAGGTGATGAAGGCTGACATAACTGCTGGGCTCAGCGTGGAGTTGACATGCACCGCAGGCACAGTGCCACTGTCCCAGGGGATATGGGGTCCAGAGAGGGCTGGAGCACTGAGTCCAGGAGAGATTCTGAGGGGTGTGGCTAGGTACAGAGCTTGTGGGGTCTTGGTGGGCAGGGAGGTCACTGTCCACTTGGCCACCATCCCACCCCCATGTGTCTTGTCATGCCAGCAGGAGGGAGCACTGCACCATCATTTCTCTGCAGTTTTCTGTTCTAATCTGAATTTCCTTCTTTCTGTTTGTTTTGGGTTTAGTTCTCCTTTGTATAGTTTCTTAAGATGGAAGGTTAGCTTATTAAACTCAGATCTTCATTTCAAAATGCAGATATTTATAGTGATAAATTTCCCTCTGGCACATTTTAAGTCCACCCCGTTAGTTCTTGTATGTTGCATTTTCTTTGTCAGTCATCTCATCACTTTTCCTAATATCTTTTAGGACTTCTGTGAACCACTGGCTGTTTCAGAATATGTTTATTTTCTACACGTTTGTCTTTCTATTGTTGATAGTAGTTTAAATCCATTATGGCCAGAGCACATACTTTGTATGATTTCATTCTTTTTCAACTTAGTCTATTTTACGATTGTAGCAAATGGTCCTTTCTGGATAGTGTTCCATATCCAGTTGAGCACAGTGTATGCCTGATAGAAACAGGAATACAGATATTTCTGTTAAGTTGCTGTAGCGTTCAAATCTTCTGCATCCTTGTCAGTCTTTGACTTAGATCTATCCATTATGAAACTTAGGGTATTGATATCTTTGAGTATTGTGTTGAAAATCTACTTGTCCCTTAATTTCTATCTTTCATTTACTGTTGAGCTCTTTTATGTACTTGTGTCATTATTGTTGTCCAGGTTGATTAACCCCTTCATCCCCTTCGTTACTGTAAAATGTCTCTTCTTGTCTCTCTCTTTTTTTGTTTTTTAAAGATTTATTTTACTTATTTGGAAGACAGCTACAGAGAGAGGTAGAGACAGAAAGAGAGGTCTTCCATTTGCTGGTTCACTCCCCAGATGGCTGCAGCAGCCAGAGCTGTGCTGATCTGAAGCCAGGAGTTTCCTCTGGGTTTCCCATGTGGGTGCAGGGGCCCAAGGACTTGGGCCATTCTCCACTGCTATCCCAGGCCATTGCAGAGAGCTGGATTAGAAGAGGAGCAGCTGGGACTAGAACCAGCGCCTACATGGGATGCCGGCACTTCAGGCCAGGGTCCTAACCTGCTGCACCACGGCATCGGCCCCTCTCCTTATCTCTAGTTCTAACTTCTGTTGTGTCTGTTATTTGGAAGGTGAAGCCAGTTTATCAAGCTCTCTTAGAGTTCTTTTACATAGTATATATTTTTGTCATCTTTTAGCCTTAACTCTTGTATCTTTGAATTTAATTTTTTTTTTTCTTGGTGAGAATTTGTTGCACTGGTTGACACCACTGGCTTTTTGCCTCCTTTGTCAGAGTGCCTGCGTTCAAATTCTGACTCTGCTTCCCAGTGTAGCTTCATAATACATGTACCCTTTGAGGCAGCAGGTAATGGCTGAAGTCATTTCACCCATGTGTGAAACCCAGGTTGAGTTCTGGGCTCTTGGCTCAGCCCCAGCTGTTACAGGCATTTGTGTAGTAAACCAGCAGATGGACAATCTCTGTCTGTCTCTGTCTTTACCTGTCAAATGGATAAAAATAGTTTCTCCTGTATAGCATATGTGTAATTCAATCTTATTTTTTAATCATATGACAGTCTACCTTTGAAAATTTTTTTTATTTTCAGTTTTTTTGCCAGATAATAATTGTATATATTTATGGGGTAAAATGTGATGTTTTGATTAATGTATACATTGTTGAGTGATGAAATCAGACTAACATATCTGTCACCTCATGTACTTACAATTTCTTTGTGATGAGAACATCTAACATCTTCTCTCAGGGAGTGGACATGTGTGGCAGCAGGTAGGACAGCACCTGGGATGCACACATCCCCTGTCAGTCTCTGAGGTTTAGTCCTGGCTCCACTTCTACTCCAGCTTTCTGCTCGGATCACATCTGATGGTTCAAGTGGTCTCCATGGGGGAGACCTGGAGTGAGTTCAGGGCTCTGGTTCCCATCAGCTTTCTCCTTACACACTTCTTCCACCCTTTGCTAGCTGCCATTCTCTCTTCTATGAAATTTGACTTTTTCAGAGTCCACATGTGAGATCATACAGTGTTTGTCTTTCTGTGCCTCACTTACATCACTTAACATAATCTGTTTATTTGTGTTGTTGCAAGTGACAGGATTTCCTTTTCATAAAATGTATGTTTATTTTGATCTACTTGAAAGGCAAAGTCACAGTGACAGAGAGATCTTCCGTCTGCTGGTTCACTTCCACACTGCAGCCAAGGTTGCGCTAGGCTGAAGCCAGGAGCCTTGAACCCCCGTGGGTCTCCCATGGTTGGAGAGGCCAGTGCCCTTACACCATCTGTTGCCTTCCAGGAGGCATTAGCAGGCAGTTGGATCAAAAGTGGAACAGCCGGGAATCAAATCTGTACTCCAGTGTTGGGGGGTGGGCAGCATCCCAAGTAGTAGCTTAACCAGATAGCTGTACCACAAACCCTGTAACAGAATTTTTGTTATTTCACAGGGTGAAGGGAATTCCATTTTATTTATCCATTGGTTGTGCATTGGTACTTTCTATATCATAACTATTATTAATACTGCTGTAATGAACATGGGAGTATAGACATCTGTTTGACATACTGATTTGAATTTCTTTGAGTATATATATCTAAATGTGGGATTGTTTGATCCTATGGTAGTTCTATTTTTAGTTTTTTGAGGAGTCTTGTATTATTTTGAACTAGCTGTGCTAATTTACATTCCCACCAGCAGTGTTCAGGAGTCACTTTTCTCCACGTCCTCATTAACACTTGCTGTCTTTCATTTTTTTTTTTTTAAATAGTAGCCATTCTGACAGGTGTGAGGTGATAACTAATTGTTTTTACTGGGGCTGGTGCCGCGGTGCACTTGGTTAATTCTCCACCTGCAGCATCGGCATCCCATATGGGCGCCAGTTCTAGTCCTGGTTGCTCCTCTTCTGGTCCAGCTCTCTGCTATGGCCTGGGAGGGCAGTGGAGGGTGGCCCAAGTGCTTGGGCCCCTGCACCCACATGGGAGACCAGGAGGAGGCACCTGGCTCCTGGGTTCGGATTGGTGCAGCTCCGGCCGTTGCAGCCATTTGGGGAATGAACTGATGGAGGGAAGACCTTTCTGTCTCTCTCTCTCTCTCTCTGTGTAACTACCTGTCAAATAAATAAATAAAATCTTAAAAAAATTTGGTGTGTTTACTGATGATTGTAACATTGAGGATTTTTTTTCACATATCTGTTGGCCATGTATATCTTTTCTTAGAAATGTCTGTTCAGGTCCTTTGCCCACTTTTTAATAGTGATATTTGATTTTTTGTTATTAAGTAATTTGAGTCCTTTATTTTGGATATTATTCCCTAAACAGTTATATGACTTAAAATTTTTTTTCCAGTGTGGGGGTTGTCTCTTCACTCAGTTGTTTTCTTTGCTGGGCAAAAGCTTTTCAGTGTCATGAAATCCTATTATATATATATATTAAGGTGTATTTGAAAGGCAGCAGAGTTACAGAGAGGCAGAAGCAGAGAGAGTGATATATAGAGTCTTCCATCTGCTGGTTCACTCCCCAAATGGCCACAGTGGCTGGAGCTTAGCCAATCCGAAGCCAGGAGCCAGGAGCTTCTTCTGGGTCTCCCACACGAATGCAGGGGCCCAAGCACTTGTGCCATCTTGTACTGCTTTCCCAGGTTATAGCAGAGAGCTGGATCAGAAGTGGGGCAGCCAGGACTAGAACCAGTGCCATATGGGATGCTGGCACTGCAGGCGGTGACTTTATCACTCAGCCCTAGCCCCACCCGTTGATTTATTTTTGCTTTTTTTGTCTGTACTTTGTGGGTCACATCCAACAAATCCTTTTTTAAGACCAATGTCATAGACGTCCTGCACTGCCTTCCCGGGCCATAGCAGAGAGCTGGACTGGAAGAGGAGCAACCGGGACTAGAACCTGGCGCCCATATGGGATGCCAGCGCCACAGGCGGAGCATTAACCAAGTGAGCCACGGCGCCAGCCCCGTATCAGTGTTTTATGGTTGTAAGTATACAGATCATTCACCTCCTTGGTCAGATTTACTGCAAAGGTTTTTTTTTTTTTTTTTTTTTTTTAATTTTGATTTAAATTTATTTGAGAGGGGTGGGTGTGTGGTACAGCAGGTTAAACTGCTGCTTGTGACACCTGGGTCCTGTATCAGAGTGCGTGGGATCAAATACTGCCTTCCGTTCCAATCCAGCTCCCTGGTAATCTGCACCCTCGGAAGCAGACCACGGCCCAGCCCCAGCTGTTTGAGGCGTCTGCGGAGCAAACCAGCAGAAGGGAGCACTTGCTCTCGTTTTCTGTCACTCTGCCTTTCACACAAATAAAAGCAAGCTTAAAAAATAAATCTGTTAGAGAAAGAAAGGCCCCAGTCCATTGGTTTATGCCTCAGATGCCCACAGTGGCCAAAAATGGGAGCCAGGAACCCAGTCAGGCAGGGACCCAGTCACTGCTGCCAGCCAGAGTCTAGATGAGTGAGAAGCTGAAGTCTGGAGGCAAAGCCAGGCACCAAACCCCAGTACTCTGTTGTGGGGTGTGGGTGTCTCAACTGGGGCTCCTCTGATTACAAGGCTAAACATCCACCCTAGTTGGCTTTTTTTTTTCTCTTTTGCTATTGTAAATGAGATTTTGTTCTTGAAAAAAAATTTTCAGAATGTTGTTAGTTTTAAAGAGATTGTGCAAGGCTGGCGCCGCGGCTCACTAGGCTAATCCTCCACCTGCGGCGCCGGCACACCGGGTTCTAGTCCCGGTCGGGGTGCCGGATTCTGTCCAGGTTGCCCCTCTTCCAGGCCAGCTCTCTGCTGTGGCCCATGAGTGCAGTGGGGGATGGCCCAGGTCCTTGGGCCCTGCACCCCATGGGAGACCAGGAGGAGCACCTGGCTCCTGCCTTCGGATCAGCCCGATGTGCCGGCCGAAGCAGCCATTGGAGGGCGAACCAATGGAAAAGGAAGACCTTTCTCTCTCTCTCTCTCTCTCTCTCTCTCTCTCTCTCTCTGTTTAACTCTGCCTGTCAAAAAAAAAAAAAAAAAAGAGAAAGATTGTGTGGACTTAGATATTTTGATTTGATTTTTGTAATCTCCAACTTTACTGAATTTGGTTTTAAGGTGTTTTTTTGTTTTTTGTTTTTTGTTTTTTGAATGGAGTCATTAGGGCTTTCTGCATAAGACTGTGTCATCTGCACACAGAGAATTTGACTTCTTTCTTATCTACATTCCATCATTTTTTTCTTACCTGTGGTCTATTCAGAAGTTTTCAGAATAGAATACAGAATAGAAGTGCCAAGAATGGACGTCCTTATGTTCTTAGTGGAAAATTTTCAGCTTTTCACTGCTGACTGTGGTGTTAGCTGTGGTCTTGGCATGTATGATCTTTATTGCGGTATATTTCTTCTGTAATCAGATTGTTGGGAGTTTTTATCATGAAAGTTTTTATCATGACTTTTGCCAAATCCTTTTTCTGAATCTGATGAGCTGACAATGATTTTTATCTTTTGTTCTGTTACTGTAGTGAATTGATTTGCCTGTATTGAGCAGTCTTTGCATCCCAGGGATAAATCTCACTTAATCTATGTAAATAATTCTTTTAATGTATTTTTTTTTTTTTTTGACAGGCAGAGTGGACAGAGAGAGAGAGAGAGAAAGAGAAAGGTCTTCCTTTGCCGTTGGTTCACCCTCCAATGGCCACCGCGGCCGGCGCACTGCGCTGATCCGAAGGCAGGAGCCAGGTGCTTCTCCTGGTCTCCCATGTGGGTGCAGGGCCCAAGCACTTGGGCCATCCTCCACTGCACTCCCTGGCCACAGCAGAGAGCTGGCCTGGAAGAGGGGCAACCGGGACAGAATTCAGCGCCCCAACCGGGACTAGAACCCAGTGTGCCGGCGCCGCAGGTGGAGGATTAGCCTAGTGAGCCACAGCGCCGGCCTTAATGTATTGTTGAGCACAGTCTGCTACAAATTTTTTTGAGTATCTTTGCATTGTATTCACCTGAAACAATTGCCTACAGTTTCCTTTCCTTTTCCTTTTCCTTTTCCTTTTCCTTTTTTATCTGGTTTTGGTAACAGGGTGATGATGGCTTCATAAAAGAAGTTTGGAAGTGTTCTTCAGCTTTTTAGAAGCCTTTGAGGATAGTATTATTTTTCTAAATCTATGAGAACATCCAGCCTTGGACCTATCTGGCCTTTGGTTTTCTTTGATTGGCAACTTTTTTATAACTGATTTAATTTCCTTAGCCATAACTGGTCTGTTAATATTTAGCATGATTTGATCTTGGTGGGCTGTTGTTAGTAGAAATTTAGCCTTCTAGGTTTTTTTTTTTTTTTTTTGAGAGGCAGAGTGGACAGTGAGAGAGAGAGACAGAAAGGTCTTCCTTTTGCCATTGGTTCACCCTCCAATGGCCGCCGCGCTGTGGCCAGCGCACCACGCTGATCCGAAGGCAGGAGCCAGGTGCTCCTCCTGGTCTCCCATGGGGTGCAGGGCCCAAGGACTTGGGCCATCCTCCACTGCACTCCCTGGCCACAGCAGAGAGCTGGCCTGGAAGAGGGGCAACCGGGACAGAATCTGGACTAGAACCTGGTGTGCCGGCGCTGCTAGGCGGAGGATTAGCCTATTGAGCCGTGGCGACGGCCGCCTTCTAGGTTATTATTTTTATTGGTTTATAATTCATAATTTTTAGGATCTTTTGTTCTTTGTTATCAGTTGTAATGTCTCTTTTATTTCTGTCCTTTAATTAGCCTAGCTAAGGGCTTTTCAATTTTGTTTAGCTTTTAACAAAAACAACTCTTAGTATCATTGATGTTTCTATTTTCTAGTCTCTTTTTTATAATTTTTTTTTTTTTGAGGTGGGGGAGAGAGAGCGAGAGAAACAGAGATCTCCTATGTGCCGATTCAGGCCTCACTTGCTCACAAAATCCAGGGCTGGCCTAGGTCAATGCCAGGACCCAAAAACCAAATCCATGTTTCCCACATGGGTGGCAGGAACCCAAGTACGTGAGTCATCAGCTGATGCCTCCCAGGGTGTGCATTAGCAGAAAGCTGTGAACAGGAGGAGATCTAGGACTCAAATACAGGTACTTCAATATGAGAAGTGGGCATCCCAACTGGGATTTTAATGGCTGTGCCAGATATCCACCTCTATTGTCTATTTCTGTAAGCCTGCTTTAATCTTTGTCATTTCTTTCCTTCTGCTAACTCTTGGTTTAACTTGTTCTTTTCAGTTTTTTTTTTTTTTTGTTTTTTTTTTGCTTCTCTGTTTTTAATTCCCTGAGTAGTAATGTTAGGCTATCAGATTGTTTATTTGAGACTTTTTTTTTTTTTTTTTTGACAGGCAGAGTTAGACAGTGAGAGAGAGAGACAGAGAAAGGTCTTCCTTCCATTGGTTCACCCCGCAAATGGGCGCTGCAGCCAGCGCGCTGTGCCGATCCGAAGCCAGGAGCCAGGTGCTTCCCCCTGGTCTCCCATGTGGATGCAGGGCCCAAGCACTTGGGCCATCCTCCACTGCCTTCCTGGGCCACAGCAGAGAGCTGGACTGGAAGAGGAGCAACCCGGACAGAATCTGGTGCCCCGACCGGGACTAGAACCCAGGGTCCCGGCACCACAGGCGGAGGACTAGCCAAGTGAGCCACAGCGCCGGCCTGAGACCTTTTTTGATACAGGGATGCAGTACTATAAACCTTCGTAGAACTGCTTTTGATGCATTCTGTATGTCTGTATGTTCTTTCACTTGTCTCAGTGTATTTTGTAACATTTTTTTTTCTTGTTCTTATTTGGCCCAATAGTTGTTGAGGAGCTTACTGTTTAATTTCTACATATTGTGAATTTTCCATGACTCTTCCTGTAACTGATTTCTATTTTCATACCACTGTGGTTTGAAAAGGTACTTGATATGATTGCCGTTTTCTGTAATTTGTTAGACTAGTGTTGTGGCGAAGATAGACGTGATCTGTCCTGGAGAATGCTCCGTGTACACTTGAGATGAATTACATTCTGTTGCTGTTGGATGGAAAATTCTGTATATGTCTGTTAGGACCATTTGATGTCATGGATAGTTCAAGTCTGATGTTTTCTTACTGATTTTCTTTCTGAATGATCTCTTGTTGACAGTGGAGCACTTAAATCCTTACCCTTAGTGTGTTGGAATCTATGTCTTCCTTTAGCTCTCTTAACATATGATTTATATATTTAGGTGCTTTGATGTTGGGTACATAGATACTTGTATTTTTTACATCCTTTAGTGCTATATACTGACCTTTCTTTTCTCTGTTTTACAATTTTTGACCTAAAGTTGATATTTTCTTTGATTTGTACTCTTTGCTCTCTTTTGCCTTTATTTTACATTGAATATCTCTTCATCCCTTCACTTTCAATCTGTGAGTGTCTTTTAAGGTGAGGTGAGTTGAGTCTTATGCTTTTAATCCATTCAGCCATTCTGTGCCTTTTATTTGGAAAATTCAAACCATTTACATTTGAGATAATTATTGATAGGTCAGAACTTCCTAGTGATGTTTTGTTAATTGTTTGTGACTGATTTGTAGATCCTTTGCGGTTTGATTGTTGTCTGTAGTGTCATGCTTTGAATCTTCCTTTTTTATTTCTTGTGTTTCTTAGAAGGGTATTACAAAGAGTTTATTAGAGATAAAAGATAAGTTTATTTGGGTACAAAAAAATTTTTTTTTTTTTTTTGACAGAGTGGACAGAGAGAGAGAGAGAGAGAAAGGTCTTTACCGTTGGTTCACCCTCCAATGGCGCCACGCTGATCCGAAGCCAGGAGCCAGGTGCTTATCCTGGTCTCCCGTGTGGGTGCAGGGCCCAAGCACTTGGGCCATCCTCCACTGCACTCCCTGGCCACAGCAGAGAGCTGGCCTGGAAGAGGGGCAACCGGGACAGAATCCGGTGCCCCAACTGGGACTAGAACCCGGTGTGCCGGCACTGCAAGGCGGAGGATTAGCCTAGTGAGCCACGGCTCAAAAAATTTTAAGATATCTGTATAGCTTTTTCATAATACATATTTTCCTGAATGTTTTGCAGATTCCTCATATTACATGCTTTTGCTTTGTGGTTACCTCTCAGGCTTGTATGAAGCATCCTATAACATGCATCTAAGCTGATAATCCTAATTTTCATTGTATGTAGAAGCTACGTTTACTCTTTCTCCTGCATATTTTATGTTTGTTATGTCAGCATTTTACCCTTTTTCAAATTGTACCCTTTAGAAAATATTGTAACTATCATAGTTTTCAGTTTTTTGTCTTTTAATCTTTCTCCTAGGGATAGACTGGACTTGACCACCACTGTTACAGTAGTAGTGATTTCAGTTCAACAGTGAACTGACTGTTGCTGATGTGCTTTGTACTTCAATACGTTTTCACTTACTAGCATCCTCTTCCTTATGCTTGAAGAGCGTTTTTATAATACAGATCTAGTGGCGATAGCTACCTTCATCCTTTGTTTAACAAGTCATTGTCTAGTCTCCATTTTTTTTTTTTAAGATTTATTTATTTATTTAAAAGAGTTGAAGGGAGAGAGGTCTTCTGTCAGCTGGTTCACATCCCAAATGGCTGCAGTGCCCCAGGGCTGGGCCTTGCCAGAGCCAGAGTCAGGAGCTTCTTCCAGGTCTCCCACGTGGGTGCAGGGGACCAAGCACTTGGGCCAGCTTCTGCTGCTCTTCCCAGGCGCATTAGCAGGAAGCTGGATCAGAAGTGGAGGAGCCAGGACACAAACTGGTGCCCATATGGGATGCTGGCATTGCAGATGGCGGCTTAACCTACTGCACCACAACGCTGGCCCCTACTCTTCATTTTTTACATATATATATGTGTGTGTGTGTGTGTGTGTGTGTATGTAAATAGTATAAAATATAGTATTCTTATTTGGCATTTTTTTGTTTGTTTGTTTGCTTTCAGGACTTTGAAGGTCTCGTACCACTCCTTTCTGGCCTATAAAATTTTTGCTGAAAATATGTTGATAGTGACATGTGGCATGAGTCCATTAAACTGTCTTCACTTTATAATTCTCATCTTTTTGCTTTTCAGTTTTGGTACTTCCCAGGGGCTGATGTTCAAGTTCACTGGTTCTGTTTCTTTCTTGATCAAGTCTGCTATTGAACTTTGTAGTTGGGTTCTTTGGCTTGGTTGTTAGTTTGGTATATTTTCTCCCTTGACATTCTCAGTTTGTTTTTGCATTGCTTACCTGATCTGCGAGCCTCTTAATGACCATTAGTTGAATTTCCATTTGGGTAAATCACATATCTCCACTACAGTAGTACTGGATTCTGAAGATTTATCTAGTGCTTATACTGGGAAGACATTTCTCTGTTTCTTCTTTTTCCTTGACTTCCTGTGTTGGTTTCTGCACATTAGGTAAGATAACTGCCCCTCCAGTCTCCATCAGACTGGTCTTGTATAGGAGAAGAATCTCACCAATTTATCTAGCCAGAGCTTCTAAGCTGTCACTCAAGTTTGTGTTTGTGTAAAGTGCTCTCTGTTGCTGTGCCTTTGGGTGACTAGTGTGTAAGACATTTCTTCAGTACCCAAAGACAGTAAGTTAGAAGCCAGCTCCTGGATGTAGCTGCTAAGCTTGCGGTATTCGTTCTTATTCCTTCTATCCTTTGTGACTCTGTGACTTTTTTTTTTGGACAGGCAGAGTTAAACAAAGAGAGAGAGACAGAGAAGGGTCTTCCTTCTGTTGGTTCACCCCCCAAATGGCTGCTACGGCTGGTGCGCTGCACTGATCTGAAGCCAGGAGCCAGGTGCTTCCTCCTGGTCTCCCATGCGGGTGCAGGGCCCAAGCACTTGGTCCATCCTCCACTGCACTCCTGGGCCACAGCAGAGAGCTGGCCTGGAAGAGGAGTAATCCGGACAGAATCCGGCGACCCGACCGGGACTAGAACCCGGGGTGCTGGCGCTGCAGGCGGAGGACTAGCCAAGTGAGCCCCAGCATCAGCCTCTGTGGCGTTTTTTTTTGTTTGTTTGTTTGTTTATTTGAAAGGCAGAGAGAGACAATTACCTTCCATCTGCCGCTTCACTCCCCAGATGCCTGCAAGCCAGGAGCCAGGATTTCCATCTAGGTCTCCCACGTGAGTGGCAGGACCTTAAGTACTTGGGCCATCACTCACTGCCTTCCCAGGCACATTAAGAGGAAGCTGAATCAGAAGCAGGAGAGTTGAGACTCAGGGAACACTGCTGTGTGGGACGTGGGTGTCTGCAGCAGTGCCACACTGCCTGCCCCTCGCTGTGAGGTTAAGAGTGGGCAATTTATCTCCCGCTGTCTCTTCATTGATCTTGGGAGAGGATCTATGGCAATTGCTTGCCCTTGCATTCATCCTGGGGAGGTGGCCACTGAACGTGAGCTCCCTGTGTGTCCTCCTTTGTTCATGGTGGTCTGAAGAGACCCAGGAAGGCAGCGCTCCTTCATTTCCTGAGATGGAGTTGAGGAGGCAGTCCCTTGGAGGGAGCGAAGTCACGGCACCTGGGTGGATTGCTGCTGCAGCAGGCTGGGAAGGAAGACTGGGAAGTGGGAAGTGTCTGTCTCGGCTGCTTGAGGTCTGCTGTTTCCTGCCCTGTGAGCTCCTTGATGCAAGTTAGAAGCCAGCTGTCTACTGCATACTGGAAGAGTGTGCCGGAACCCCTTTCTGGAAGGGGGATAGGGAGCTGTGCTTTCTTTAGCCGCTTCTGTGCACTTCTGGGGATGCAGCCCCTGAAATTTCTTGCACACTCATTCAAAGCCACCTTTTTGCCCTGTGGTCTGGGGAGATTCACACTTGCCAGCTTCCTCTGACCCCAGAGCCTAGGATGCCATCTCTTGCATGGAAACTAAAGTTCCAGACAGCTGATGCACAGACAGACTCCTTCAGGAGAAGTTAGCTCTGTAGGGTGGAGGTCCTGGCATGTGTGAGCTCAGGCTACCAGGCCCCACTTTTGCCTCATTGACTTCTGATGCAGGTCAGACACCTTCCAGAGGCAAACTTGGACCTCGTAGCTGCCCTGGTCCTGGAGTGTGAAGCCCCTCTCAGTACCTGCGTGACATCATAACGCTACCACTTTGCCCTGTGATCCAGGAGGGCCTGTGCATGTCCCTTCTACTTTCAAAGCTGGGTGGGTGAAGAGCCAGACGTGAGGAATATTAGAGTTAGGGTGCTGTAAGCATGCTGCCAACCACCCTGTCTTCAGGGTAATGCTGGATGTTGGGATTTCCTCTCCGAATATTTGGCACAGTGCTTGGGGCAAGCAAGTATGACTCAGCTTTTGCTACTATTCAGTGTGGATATTTTCTTAGTTGCCTGGACATAGGTATCTCTCACCTTGTGACTTTCAGAAACCATTGAAAAATGAATAGATGTATATTTGGTGCATCTGTGAGTGGAAGAGAATCAGGAGCCACCTCTCCCACCCCAGTGTCGATATCAACTCCCCCCCCCCCCATAGTTGCCCATTAACTGCATTGATTAATCATTCACATTCACTGTTATTTCTGACGTAGTTGGATTGATGGCTGCCTCTCGCTGACACTCTCTTCATCCACATGGGCCGGTCTGTGGATATTGTTCATGTGCTGATCCTTGGTCTTCATCTGTTGCAATGTTATGGTCTCATATGTTCCTGTCAGGTAACAGTTGTTAATTGCTCTCATAATTCATAAGTTTCTTGATTAATTTCAATTAGATGAAGAATCTTCAATAAGTTTTTAAAAGTGTGTATTATGAGAAAACTATGTATGGGTTTCAAGAGTTTGGCACCAAATAAACTTAATTACTTTCATATTCCATGAAATTTTTGAAGTGCTCTTGAATATATAACCATCCAGATGAATTCTAGAATATTGTATTTGAATCCCATTAAAGTTTTGATGGGATAATATTGTATTTATAGATTAATTTGGGGAAATGTGATACCTTTGTAATAGTGTTTTCTTATCTGCACTCACCTGTAATTCAGTCTTTTTGTGTCCCTCTGTAAACTTATTTTCTCATAGAATCTACACTTTTTTTTTTAAAAAAAATGCATGTGTGAAATATCACCTGCATATGACATTTATATGAAACTTGCTTGGTGTTTCATACTATTTATTAAACTGGACATGCAAGACCGACAGTGGGACTCATCCCTAGAAATTTTGCCCTGCACATTCTCATTTGTCTCTTCCTAATGTTCCTTCTCTTCCCCTTGCTCCCCGGGTTTCAACTGCTTAGACTGCCATGGGTGTGGGTATCTGCCTGTGTTATGATACACGTGTGCTGGCATTTCTCGAAGTCCATGCCTGTGGTGTTGATGTGTCATGTGTTTTCAATAGCCAGTTTACCCAGATAGATAGAATAGACACCAGTGTCAGTACTTGACTGCTAAATGATTCCATGTCTTCATCACAGAAGCCTAATTTGTCTATCTGAGGTGGTTTTAGTTTGCATTTCCCTAATTTCTGAATATGTTGATCACATTTCATATGATTGCTAAGCAATTAGAAGTCGAGGTGGGGCAGGCATTTGTGCAGCAGTTATGCTGCTGCCTGGGATGCCTGCATCCCATATTAAAGCGCCTGGTTCAAGTCCCAGTTCATCTGCTTCCAATCCAGCTTCCTGCTAACGCACACCCTGGGTGGCAACCGATGAGGGCTCAGGCACTTGTGTCCCTGTCACCCACATGGGAGAGCCAGAGCAAGTTCTTAGCTCTTGGCTTCAGCCTGGCTTTCTCTCTTTCAAATCGAATGAAAGATTTAAAAATCATGAAAAAAAAAAAAAAAAAAAAAGAAGAAGAAGAAGCTAGGGGGCCGGCATTGTAGTGTAGAAGGTTAGCGACCACTTACGACACCAGCATCCCATATTGGTGTGTGGCTTCTGGCTTCATGGCTGTTGTGTCAGTTTGGTGAGTGAACCAGTGTATGGAAGGGCCCCCTCCCTCCCTCGTCCCTCTCCTCGTCCCTCTCCTCCCTCCCTCCCCCCCTCTCTCCCCTCTCCCCTCTCTCCCCTCTCTCCTCTCTCTTTCCCTTTCCCTCCCTCTCCCTCCTCCTCCCCTCTTCCCCTCTCCCCCTCTCCCTCTTCCCCCTCTCCCCTTCCCTCCTCCCTCTCCTCCCTCTCTCTCCTCTCCTCTCTCTCTCTCTCTCTTTCCCTCCCTCCCCCCCTCCCCCTCCCTCCCCTTCTCCCTCTCCCCTTCCTCTCCTCTGTGCCAGTCTGGCTTTGAAATAAATAAATAAGAAATGTATGTGAAGAGTTTGTCAATTCTATTGCCTACTTTATTATTGGGGTATATCTCTGCCTTGTCTTAAAAGTGTAGGCAGTTATTGTCTCCCACTCTATCACTTCTCTTTGTACCCTTTAATGGTGTTATTTGATGACACAGATTTTTTAAGATTGATTTATTTGAAAGAGCAACAGAGAGGGAGAGACAGAGAGATCTTTCATCCACTAATATAATCTCCAAATGGCCGCAATAGCTGGCGCTGGGTCAGGATGAAGCCAGCAGCTTCTTCCGGGTCTCCTGTGTAGGTGTAATGGGCCCAGATACTTGGACATCTAACATTGCTTTCTCAGGTGCATTAGCAGGGAGCTGGATCGGAAGTGGGCTGGGGCTTGAACAGGTGCCCATAAGGGATGCAGGAATTGTAGGTTCCAGCTCAACCTGCTGTATCACAGTGCTGGCCCCTTGAATGTTTTACAGTTTACTTTCATATTTAGATATTACCTCTGGAAATGATGCCTGAGTTCTTCCCACTGTATTGGTTGGTAGAAAGAAAGGCTCCTTAACACTTTATATAAACATCTCACAAACGGCTGCTCCTAAGTAATAAAAAGTAGTGTCAGTTTTCTGTGACACCCAACCCTCAGGATACCCTAAGAAAGTGGAAGGCTGTACCTTACGCTCTGGAAGCCGCCTCAGCAAAGGGGTGTAAAGGTTATTAGAACGTCTGACGTCCAAAAGCTGGATCTTCCCGTCCAGGGCCTGTCTGTAATGATAAAAGGAGAATCTCAGAGACGTTCTGCCGATACTGAGTTTGAGAAGGCCGAGTGTCACGTTTCTAAACCCTAGCCTTAAATCCTTCTGTAGCTGTTCAAGAGATGACTTCCCCCTCTCTACTCTGCTGATTTTCTCAGGTCTTCCTGGGATCCAGGCACTGACTGCTCAGATAAGGTCACCACTGTCCTCATTGGGCAGCTCCAGAAAGCTTGTGAAAGAGGAAGCTTTGATTTATTTAGTTCTCCTCAATCTTCAGTCCTTAGAAAAATGTATTTGTTAAAAACAGGGAGGGGGATGCTGTGCTAGGAATTCAACAAGAAAAGGAAATAAATACCTTTTGTGAAAAGGATTTCCAAGCTCTCTGACCCCCCCCCCCCCCATTGGAAATAACTTAATTGAGGTGGCTGCACGTGAAACCCTCACTGACACCTTGGTTCTGGCCAGCAGAAGGGCAGGATTCGGAGTGTCACTTAAAACGTCTTCTTTAGGAACAGAAATAAAGACCCGCGTTCCGCCTGCAGCTAGGAGCAGAGGCCCTGCTGGAGGCCACGTGATCTCCGGGCTCCCCAGCAATCCTCACGCTGAGAATTCCCACCCTGGCGGCAGGCATGGGCGGAGCAGGTGGGTGCTGTGGGGTTCCAGATTGCTCCACACCAGTCCTGGCCCCCTGCTGCCAGTGTTCCTCCCTCATGCACATAGGAGGGGGATGGGCATCCACGTGACCTCTGCTCCCTCACCCTCACTGGCCCTTGGGTCCCACAGCTTACTCTTTCCAGTGATGTCTGATACCATCAGGTATTGCTCTTGGAAGATTTGCACAGAGGTCATGCTTAGTCACAGAACAGGAATATGTTCTTGTTTTTGATTCCTTGTTCTTGCCTTGATTTGGAGATTACAGGTCAATAGCAACAATGTTCCCAGAATTATAGCCATTAAAGATTATAGGATGCACAAAAGCAAGCTGCGGGCACAGACGTCACTGCTGATCCCACATGACTGCCGAGACAGCTGCACCGAAGCAGCCGTTTGTTCAGGGCCACGCACAGGGCCAGGCCTGAGGGACAGGAAATTGCAGAGTGCGGCAGACCTGTCTCCTGGGTGCTGCCGATGAAAAGTGGCTTTGGGGGCAGATCCTGGAGTCACAGCAGAATGTGGGAATCCAAGTGCGTGAGAGAGGCCCAGCCCACAGAGTCCACCATCTGGTCGGAGAATTAGAGGTTTCCACGTACTTTGCACAGAACACACAGTTGTTGATACCATACTTGAGGCCTCCAACTTTGATGTTTAAAAAATTATTTATTTGAAAGGCAGAGTTACAGGTAGAGGCAGAAGTCTTACATCTATCTGCTGGTTCACTCCTCAAGTGGTTGCAACGGAGCTGAGCTGATCCCAAGCCGGGAGCTTCCTCCACCTCTCCCCTGTGGGTGCAGGGGCTCTTTTCTGCTCTGTTCTTCTATTTCTCCCTCCCTCCCCCCTTTCTTTCTCTCTCTCTCTTTATCTCTCTCTTTCCTTTCTCTCCTTCCTCCCTCCCTCCCTCCCTCCCTCCCTCCCTCCCTTCCTCCCTTCCTCTTTCTGTATGTATGCATGTATGTATGTATGTATTTGTGAGGTAGAGTTACAGAGAGAGAGAGAGAGAGACATGAGCTGGTTCACTCCCCAGATGACAGATGACTGCAATGGCTGGAGCTGGGCAGATCAGGAGCCAGGAGCTTCTTCCGGGTTTCCCACATGGATGCAGGGGCCCAAGCACTTGGGCCATCTTCTGCTTCTTTCACAGGTGCATTAGCAGGAGCTGGGTTGGAAAGAGGAGCAGCTGGGACACGAGCTGGCACCCATATGGGATGCTGGTGCCGCAAGCCAGAGGCTTAGCCTACTGCCACAAAGCACTAGCCCCAGATCGATCACTTTTCGAAGCAGAGGGATCCCAACTCTGAGCGTAGACCTTTTCCTTCTGCACATAGCTTACTTGCAGCTGGTAGGCTAAATGGCAGGTTGGTGATGGTGAGAAGCCCAGCTTCTTTCATTGGAGGGAGATGCATTAAATTCCACGCTAGCTGCTGTCTGCTGCTCTCCTTCACAGAGGAGTTGCAGTTGTTACGTCCAGGGAGCAAACAGAAGCAGTCACACGCTGCTGGGCCTGGCATCTGAGGACTCCCACGTGTGCTGCATGAGATCAGTAAAACTCACCACCAGGATCCTGGAGGCTCTGTGTTGCCCCTGTATACACCTACTAACCAGGATCTCTGCTGGTGGCTTCTCCCATGACTGTGCTTATATCCCTTTTACTCATTTCCTGTTGCTGGTTAGAGTGCCCTTTCCTGCCCACTCCCACCCCTCCCCCAGACCCAACTAGGTTTTTTTAAAGATTATTTATTTATTTATGTATTTGAAAGGCAGAGTTACAGACAGGGAGAGACGGAGAAAGATCTGTCTGCTGGTTCGCTCCCCAGGTGCCTGCAGTGCTGAAGCTGGGCCAGGCTGAAGCCAGCAGCCAGGAGCTTCATCTGGGTCTCCCATGTGGGTGCAGCGGCCCAAGCACTTGGGTCATCTCCTGCTGCTTTCCCAGGCTTATTAGCAGGCAGCTGGATTGGAAGTGAAGCTGGCTTAACTCTCTGCAGTGTCAGCCCCAACACCTAGGTCTTTTGGAAAATGATTTATTTTGCATTGCCAAGAAAGGAACTGGGGCTGGCACTGTGGTGTAGCAGGTAAAGCTGCCGCCTGCAGTGCCAGCATCCCATATGTGCGCTGGTTCAAGACCCGGCTGCTCCACTTCTGATTCAGCTCTCTGCTATGGCCTGGGAAAGCAGTGGAAATGGCCCAACTCCTTGGGCCCCTGCACCCACCTGGAAGAAGCTCCTGGCTCCTGGCTTCGGATCAGCCCAGCTCCGGCCGAGGTCATTGCTGGGCGTGCTGGATTACTGTCAAGACACTCATCTTTACCTGGGATCCAGGCGGTGCCAGCCAAGTGCGCACGCTGGGCATCCGCGGGGTCTCCGCTGGGCGCCCAGGACGGGACCCGAACGCCTGAGCAAGGGTGGTCGCCAAGGACCCACGGTACAAACCCTGGTCGGTAAAAGGTGTGCGGGCTCCCAGCCACCCTTCCCTCAGATCGCACTTTCTCCCGCTGAAGCCCCCGGGCAACC